ACATGTATAGCAGCACCTATCATCCTACTATATATAATCCGCTAAGTTTGTCTGTTGGTGTGTGTATGTGTGTTTGACCGGAAATTCATAACTTCCTTCAAAAGAGTGATAGAGCGCTCAAACTGATAAGTCATGTAGGGGGTCGTGCAGGAACACTATTGGTAGGTGGCAGGAACTGATAAGAGCTGATAAGATACCGCGAGCAGCCTTATAAGGGGAGGATCACCAAATTCATAGCGCGGGCCACAGCAACGATGAGACCTTGGTTCCAGGAAGTAAGATAGGGGGCAGGATGGGAACATTATTGGTGGGTGGCAGGAATTGATAACAGCTGATAAGATACCATAAGGAGCCTCAGAAAGAGTGGGTTACCTAATTCATAACACCGGCCAGAGCAACGACCGGACGTTGGATACAAGTAGTAAGATAGGGGGCAGGATGGGAACATTATTGGTGGGTGGCAGGAATTGATAACAGCTGATAAGATACCATAAGGAGCCTTAGAAGGATAGGGACACCTAACTCACAACGTCGACCAGCACAACGGGACGTCGGTTCCAAGAGGCAAGATAGTGTGCAGGATGGAACCATTATTGGTTTGTGGCAGGATATGATAAGAGCTGATAAGATACCCCGAAAATTCACAGCAGAGTTGTTGCAACACTGTGGAACTGCTCCAGCAAGTAATTCAGGGGTGCTCAGGGTGGGAGATAAATTCTGTCAGTGTCCGACAACGGCTTTTGGGACTCCGTATATGCTCACATCATCGTGGCCAAATTTCTATTCCTAGCATCCCTCAGTTTAGCGGTCGGAATTGCTTCCACCGCTAAACGCTCGAGTTTCACCGGAAAGGGAATTGTTGGCCAGTGAGGAATGATAAGAGCCACTATGATTTCGACTTTTTTATCATCGAGATTCTTCCCACCGCTATGCTGTCCTATCCCCAACGAATGGTGCTTTTAGAAATATGATAGGCACCAAACACTGGCAAATGTTCATTAAAATGGAGAAACATGATGAAATGGGCCGTCTTCGAAACATGGGAATTAGGCTAAGTGTTAGTGCTCAGGGACAGAAATCCTGTCAGTTATCATAGTACCATGGGTTTAACCATGCGCGCAGTAGTGCGCGTCAGCCAGACTGGTTCATTATGCTCGCTACCTTCGCTTTGGAAACTTATTCTACATAGTTTCTACCTGGTTTTCACTGAACGTCAACATTTTTAACGTTTTTGCCTTATGCAAATATTTTGATAGAATCTTTCTTATTTCTGGCACAGGCACGAGGGTTGTCATG